ATTTTGAGGGCAATACCCTTACCGTTCTTCAGGCATCGGCACCGCGAGATGAATGGTCATGATTCTATACATGTTACGGCTTGTACAATGGGTTTGCCTGTCCTCCTATTGTACTGGCGATGGCGGCGCGCTTTCATGCGCGGACGTCACTCGATACAGGACCAGAGTACGCATGCGTACATGTAAGCAGTACACATGCGACTGTAACATATGCGACTAGTCGCAGTAGTTTGATATATACATTATATATAATTACTTTGGACCCTGATTGTTGATACTGAAGTCCCGGGTTCAAATACTGGGTTAGGCCAAAATCATGGGTTTTTTATCAAGAAATGCTCAGTAGCAGTCCAGATTCAGCAAGTTCGCGGTGTTTCCGTGCCTCGGAAAGCACGTAATTTAGTAGTAAATTGTAGCCGTTGACCTTGCGCCTGATCACTTTTCAGTCGTGGTTGGATTTCCGTCTCATCAGACTATGAGAGTGAGGGAGTAGAGAGTGCACCAGTGTGTGCCACACATTAGTGTACTATAATTCTCTCCCACGCAGATAGAGTCTACGTTGAGACTAACCGCCGTGACCGACATTCGGTCTAGAGGACGTTATATGAAATTATAAAACACATAAATCCCAAGTTATTTGGGGTCGGTACAACAAATTTTCCATTATAATTCGTGTCTGTGGCCGTAGAAGGAAAAGGGGAGATCTCCCGCCAGGAAAGGTGTCCTGCCCGGAGAGCGGCCAACGCTCCATGTGATTGTTCGGAGCTGTTCTGTATATACTGTTTATTATTCGGAACCTTGATCGCGTGATTTAGGCTTCAGTGTGTTTCGCTTGTGGCGCGACGACAGCGCCGCCACATGTCTATTAGCCGTAATCTCTTCACCCATTTCTCTTTAACGCATAACATCTTTAACACAGTCTATCTACTCTAATATGCATTGAATTTCATCACGTATGAGGAGGGGTTAAAATGGTTGTTTATACATTAAGTAGAGCTGTACTGGAGCGTAATATGATTTCAGCACAAATGGGTCGATTTGACCGGGAAATTACTACGCTCGGACAAAAATAAATTAGCAGCACAATGTTGCTTTACTTCGTACGGTAAGGTGACGAGTACCAGAGACCTAACGACGTATTCCATTGTTGTCCTCAGGGGTGACATTCATTTTTCAGCATTTTCATTTTGATATTTATTCGAGATAGTATAGATGGATTGATGTAAGGGTTTTAAACCACATCATCTACTTATCACCGGGTGGACTATGTGCTTGTTTGTCAGCCTTATTATAATGAAAAAAATTAGGACTTATATCTTTTAGGTTTAGGAAAAATATCAATTTTATGATCTATCTGGCAACATTTAATCGATCTTGAAATTCTAATTTTAGGTAACTACTAACTAACTAGTATTCTCAACTTTGGGCACTAATCTTTGCTTTTTCGTTTACCATATTATATAGCAGAATTTATTATGTTTTGCATTAATATTTGTGAGTGTGAAAATCCTCTTCGGTCAAATAGACTGCTCACGATAGGATTTGGGACTCGAAAAAAGCAATCAAATTCTACTGTTTTGTATGGTAAATTAAATGTCGTGTCTCGGAGTTGCAGGACTTTGTTGATGGCCTAAAAGGCAATTTAAATTGCACAAAACATACATAATTGATTTTAATTCCATTTTAGAAGTAGGTACAAAACGGGCATGATACATGAAATCAAAGTCCCGGGGACTACCGGATTTTTGAGCACATATATATTTTCCAAACCATACTATCTCTTATGCTATACGATCTTCTTTATTATTTTTCACTCTGGGTTTCATAATAATTAATATAGAATTGCCAGTGTTTCTAAAATAGATAGTGTTATATCCTAATCTGTAATGAACATTGCTTTGCAGTCAATTTCCTGCGTCAACTTTTAAGTAAAGAGTTTGTTTGTTTTAAGGCTTCTGAAAAATTCAGGTTTATAAAACTGTTGAGGGGACGCTAGTGTGTACGCGTACTAAGAAGGGAATAAATAAGCGCGCGCACGTCATGTACCGGCGGAGGTCGCCACGCAAAGCGACGGCTGCGTCAATGGAGGCCGTTATGACCCTATATTACAAGCACGGCTCGGGTTAATTTATTCATGAGCATACGTTAACAAGAATGACACATTTTCCGTTTATTTGCAATGATCCATACGGGCTAACATTTTTTTATACAATTCCTGTCTTATGTTTAGCACAAAGCGTTTCGGTAGGCAGATTTATGTATAAAAAGTATATGCATCCAATAGTTGGGCATTGGCCTGCTCTATTTTCTGTGAGGGTTTTCGAGAAGTTAGTTCAGTGCGCTGCTTCAAGCTGCTCCAGAGTGTGTTGGCGGACATCGCGTAGGTATATATTTCATTTTTCCTACATGTAATTTAACTCACGATGTTTTCAATTATAGCGGAGTATATTATAAATGTATACTTAAAATTGCAATTAACAATTTCAGTGTAACTTGCGGTGCTTGCATGCTATGGAGTTTACAATGAGTACTTAGCCCCTGAGCTACCAAGGCTCTAGATTTATGAATACTCATAGGAAACAATAATTATAATAATAGGTCAGACATAGTCTGTAAGTTGTAATAGTAGCCGGAAAAGTCTTGTGGCTTTAGATAGATAGCGTTATAAGCATGGAATACTATAATACACAATAGAATGGCTGTCAACCTTATTTTGTACGACGATAGACGAACATAAAAGCAATTACGTCGTATTATCAGTTAATCACTACCACAAACCCGATTCGCTGTGTTGACAGACGGATTTTAATACATATTTATTTGTAAATAGCGTGCAATTTGACATTTTCTAAATAATTTGCATGCGAAATTGGGAACGATTGTAACGTGTTGACATTTATACGTGTGAATTGATGTCTTGTGGCATTATAGTGGCTACACGGGATCCGCCCACACCCCGTTATATTATGTACGTATTATAGTATTTTATGATTATAAGCATCTCGCTTACGCCAGGCGTAAAATAAACAACCTGGTGACGGGCAGCAGGGTCCAACGTACGAGTACAGACAAGACGTCTTGTGCTGCAATCTTAAACCCACCTTCCAGGCATGAAAATTAAGGGGAATCCTCCCTACAACGGGAGAGAACTATGTCCAGCAGTAAATTTTTGATAATATCTATAATCTGCGTGTAGGTTACCATTAATTCTTTTTTTTCTAGCAACCACCCTTCTACTATTTAAATTTAATGATCATGACATTATTAATTCGTCAAATTAGTTCGATAATATTTTTCAACTTATCTCTAGTTAACCGTTACAGCTGTTATAGCATATTAAAGTCCACTGCTATACATAGGCCTCTCCATAGATTGATTCAGTGGTAGCTCAGATGGTTAGCACTCGCTGTAAATTTCACAGTAGGGTAGGGCGGGGCTTAAAGGTCCGCGGGTATAAAGGTCCACCATAAGTATCTAAAAAACTAGCGGTATATCGTGCGTTCTAACTATGTACGCGGAATGAAGAGAGCGCGGGAGGCGTAACGGTGCATCGCCGGCAGTCGAGCAGCGTCGCTAGCCGGAGATATACGACTACATCTAAAAATTTTAACGTAAGTAAATTTTTTTCATCATTTTACTTTTTAGTTTCGAGCAGTGGTTTTTCGTTTATCACACCTAAACATAATTTATTAGTATAAGTGATTTATTTGTTTTTCACGATTTATTATTAGTTTTAGGCTCGGTTTAACGGTTATTTCGTTATAACCTCTAAAAATATTTACACGTGGTTGGGGCAAAAAGGTCCAATGTGGACCTTTTAGCCCCTCATTAATATGTGGGTTAATAAAGACTTTTTTTGTTTCAGTATGCGCAACTATAAAAGAAAATCGGATCGTGGTACTAAATCTGTTGAGTTGATGCAACGGGCAGCAGATTTAGTTATCAATGAAAATAAATCATTGAGGCAGGTATGTCGTGACTATGAATTAAGTAAAACTTCGTTGTCAAGATTTATTAAGCGAATGAAGAATGACCCTGTTAACTTGAGATTTGGCTATGGTTCTCCACGGCAGATATTTAATAAAGAACAAGAAGCCAGTCTCACAGAATACTTGCTCAAACTTGCACAAATTTTTCACGGCATAGGTCCTAAAGAAGTTCGTCGCATGGCTTATGACTGTGCCATTAAATATAAAATAAGTGTACCGTCAACATGGCATACAAATAAAATGGCCGGTAAAGATTGGATGTCTGCCTTTCTCAAACGTAATACAAGTCTTTCCATAAGAAAACCTGAAGCGACTAGCCTCAGCAGAGCTACGTCTTTCAATAAGTCTAATGTGCAAGAGTTTTACACTAAATTAGCTGACGTTGTGGATCGATTCAAATTTACAGCTTCTTCCATATGGAATGCGGATGAAACTGGTGTATCCACCGTCACCAAACCATCAAAAATAGTTGCTGCTAAAGGAAAGCGAAATGTTGGATCAATAACATCCGGTGAACGTGGAACTAATGTAACCTTGTTAGTAGCGGTTTCTGCTACAGGTTCATCAGTTCCACCTATGTTCATCTTCCCTCGCAAAAAGTTTCAAGATCATTTCATTCGGGACGGTCCTACTGATTGCATTGGCGCTGGGAATTCTAGCGGTTGGATCACTAATGACGAGTTTTTCCTATTTATGCAGCATTTTATCAAGCACGTTAGACCTTCTAAAGAATTTCCTATTCTGTTGGTTTTAGACAACCATTCTTCGCACTTATCTGTACCAACACTAGATTTAGCTAAAGAAAATGGAGTGGTCATGCTCTCTTTCCCTCCACACTGTTCTCACAAATTACAGCCACTTGACGTGTCGGTATATGGCCCTTTGAAAAGATATCTGTCTTCAGCTCAAGATGCTTGGATGCGAAATAACGCTGGAAAAACCATGACCATATACGATATCCCTGGGATCGTCCGCACTTCTTTACCTTTAGCTTTGACACCGAGTAACATAATGAGTGGATTCGAAAAAACTGGCATATTTCCCTTCAACCAACATAAATTTAATGACGCTGATTTTGCATCTAGTTACGTAACGGACCGTCCTATGGAAACTGTTAGTAATGAGCCACAGCCTTCGACATCGTCCACTCCTCCGCCAACAATATTGTCTAATCCACAACCTTCAACACCGTTAGATCCGCAGCCATCAACATCATATGATGCACAGATATCAACATCAGTTGATCCACACGAATGTTTTTCCCCCGAAATCGTGCGACCACTACCTAAAGCCGGACCACGAAAGTCAACTATTAATAGGAAGCGCCGAAAAACTGCTATTTTGACGGACACACCAGAAAAAAGAAAATCTACGTAAAGAACAAGAAACCTTGAGTAAGAAAAAGGCTAAAGGTGTAAACAAGAAAAGCAAAGCAACTAAAAGAGTTGAGAAAGTAAAAAAAGCTATTTTACAAGAGGTTAATAGTGATTCCAGCTCTGACGATGAATGCTTCTGTTTGATTTGCTGCGAGAAGTACAGTGACAGTGTTCCAGGCGAAGGTTGGATTCAATGCAATCTTTGCAAACAATGGGCCCATGAAAAATGTATCTCAAACAGAGGTAGCATTTACTTTGTTTGTATTAACTGTGATTCAGAAAACGATGAGTCTGATTAAGATAATATAGAAATACCAAGACATGTTGATTATGTTAATTTGTTGAAGTTAATAATTAAAGAAGAGTTTAATTTTTGTGTTACGGTTAAAGAAGTATATTTTGTTTTATAAAAAATTGTTTGTTAAAAGTTTTTAAAAGATTATGTAAGATTAGTTATAAGATTTTAAATTCAGGCTATGTCAACATTCATAATGAATAGTGCTGTCTTGTTTAATTGTATTCTTCAATAGAGACTGATTAGTGATTAAACTATTATAAGCTCAACAAAGTTAGAAATTATTAGTTCGACTGTTACTGTTGTAATACATTTAGAAAAAAATAAATTTTGTTTGGTAAAAAATATTTACTTTTAGAATAGAGACTTTTTAAATATGTATCTTGGAATTATAATAATATTTTGGTTTGTTTAAAAATTAAAATATTTTTTAACTTTCTGTTTTTGGAAAAAAATAAACGACTGAATTTTATTGAACCAAATATTGTTTTAGTTCCATAAAATCGATTTTAAATAAAAATTAAATACTGGACCTTTTTGCCTCCTGCCTGTCCCTTTTTACCCCTACTATGGGGCAAAAAGGGACAGACGACAAGGTCTAAAAAAGTTGTAGAAACACATATTTCTATTATAATAATTCAACTGAAAATTGAGTCAAACATACTCAGATAACTGTTTGTTTGATTAGTGTTATTTATTTTGATATAGTAGAGTCAGTTTTCACAGTATTATTCGAAATAGTCAAATTGGACCTTTAAGCCCCGCCCTACCCTACGCGAGCAAACCTGGTTCGATCCCCGCCGGCACCAATGAAATTGTTAATTGCAATTTTAAGTGCTGATTTACCACGTGCTCGGCAGTGAAGGAAAACATCGTGAGGAAACCTGTATTTGAGAGAAATAAGAAAAAAAAATATTTCGAAGACATGTGAAGTTCGCCAACACGCATTGGGGCAGCGCGGCGGACAATTCCTTGCCCTAAACCCTCTCAGAAAAGAGCGGAAGCCTGTACCCTGCAGTGGGACGTATATAGGCTGTGACTTTTATAGATTGACTCATAGGGAGTATATTTGCGATTGTTGCCAAGCTTGGTAAGACCCTGGTATTAGGTATTAGGAAGACCCTGGCTGGTGGTAGATATTAGGAAGACCCTGGTGCCTATGTCCGGATTTGTGTCTCTCTGACTGTTGTGAATGACGTGGGGTAGTTGATACTCTTATACTGCAACTACACCATGACCTTATGTTTAAATGTCTTTAATTACCCATAGGTTAGCAGCCATAACCGGAATTCGGTCTGGAGGACATATTTTTTTATGTAAGATATTCTTAAATAACTGGTTTAATAGTTTCATGTCTGTCAAATAAAATAAATCTGCGGTTCGTTTATTGAAAAAGCTCCTTGTTAACTGCATCAATAATTTATAATCGCATGTGTGTTGATTTTATTTATCCTTAAACCAAACTAGCCGACTTTTATTTGAAGAATAAAAGAAAAACACGATAGAATCACAGTTATAGAATATAATGAAACGGCCCGCCCGCCGCGGTTCGCAAATGAGCTGCGACGTCAAAGCACCGACTTTGGTCGGTGGTCCAAAAGTCCCCGCAACATTATTTGTGACGTGTCACCACCAACGTTGAACCACAATAACGAGTAAATCCAATATATTTGCAGCTACAACAACCATTAAACTCTACATTAACACCTTTAAGTCGTACACATAAGGGTTATTACTGACGAATAACATTTCAGCAAATTTAAATTTAGTCTTACATTTTACTTTATGGCCATAAAGGCACCCTATCGTTTTCCGCGGTGTTCCGAGAATAAGTATTGATTTTGTTCATATTTTGGTGACATCTCGCTCGGTATCTGTATGTAAACGTCTTGAAACATTGCCGGCCACAAATAAAGACTTCCTGTGTGGCGAAATAAGTAAATAAACGTTGCTCACACATCCGTTCGTACGGAAAACTTCGTTGGTAAATGGGAAACTCAAAAATGTGTCGTATAAAGATATTTGTTTTATTATAAAAGTTGCGTGAGATTTTTAATTTAATTTCAAATATTCGCCATTAATTTTTGTGACAAAGATACTAAAGTCTTAAAGAACTTTATTAAAGTGTTTTTTTTTAAGTTGTAATATATAAAAATATTAATAACTTGGATAAAACAAATGATTGACAATTTATCAAAATTCGATAATAGTTTATTTTAAGTATATTAAAACTTTATAATAAAGTTTTTATGCTTATATTTCAGTATGACACGATTTTTAAAAACTTTACTTTAACTAACGAAAAAAACCTCAAATTGAAGGAATTCAATAAGTCTTTAAGCCGTTACAATATTAATTTTAAACATTAATGTAATGACGATTCGTCGCTTAATATTATTAAATATCACACTTGCATATTAAAATCATTGAAAATGTGTTTATAAAAACGTTCAGAAAAGTTATTATAGAGTTTGAGTTGCTGTTAAAAATATAATTAGCAATTAAACGACCGTAAAAATAGTTGCGTTGCTAATCCAATTGTTCATTAATAGTCTTCAAAATTAAGCGATTAATTTGTTTTAACGACTAGCTCCCACTTCGCCATCGTAACACATATAATTATGCATAATTTTATTAGGTACCTACACACGGACGCCTGCAGTTTTATATGCGTGGGCCGATATAGGGTTTAGTGTCGAATTCACTCATTTCGATTTTATCGTCCGCTTGTAAGAATGTTGCATTTTATCTGCTATGTAAAATGCAGGAACAATAAACTAAGAATTAAGGTAACAGCATACATACTATGTGGTATCTGCCTTCTCTTATTACTGTGTGTACTTGCCCAATGCGTGTTGGCGAACTATATAACGTCGCTTTCCTTACATTCTTCTCATTCGCCACAAAGTAAGTAGTAAATAAGACCTTAAAATCGCAATTTACAACTTAATTAACGCCAGTAGGTTCGAAAACGGTTTTCGCCACCGCTTATCCCCTAAGCTACAGATCTTAGAAACTATAATTTAGATAATGAAACATATAAATTGCAAATGTTGAAACCTGAAACGATAAAAATAATCGTAGTTACCTACGTAGACAAAGGTCTGTCACGAACGCTATTTGGAAATATTATGGGTGTATTTTAAAAAAAAATCACGTTAGAAGTATTGGGATAATGTTAATGTTTTTGGGGGTCATGAGCCAAAATGACAGTTACATTGAAAATTAAATAATAAAATGATAAAGCGACAGGTTGAAATTTTAAGAACCGTTTTGTTAGAGTACTTGTAACATTCGTTATCATCTATAATAAGATTAAATTTTTATTTTTATTTATTTACCTAATTTTCTTTGTTGCATACCATAAACAAATTACAGATTATATATACAAAAGAAGTACGCAATACGCGGTCTTATTTCTGACAGCAATTTCTTCCAGACAACTAATAATTGTTCCAATGCATTTTACTCAACATACTTAGATAACAAAATGACATGATTAAAACTACTTTTACGGATTTTGTCGCGTTTATTTTTACTTTTTATTTTTAATTCCCGACGTTTCGGGCGCTTTCCAGCACCCATGGTCACGGGGGACTGAGATGACTGACGTCCCGATGTCATTGTTAAACCCGGAGTACCATCAGCTTTTTTAATTATTGTTTATGGTCCGATCTATGCAAAATGAACTGACTATGTCCTGAGATCTTGCAGTGGTATGCTTGGGTTTAGTTTTAATTTTATTGTTTATAGGATCCCAAGCAGGTGGTAGTACCCAGCCTCCTTCTCTATTGAAATTAGGATGTTTTTTAATTTCAATAAAAGGCAATGTCTTAGTAATACTGCATATTCTGCTAGCATGTTATTTTCCTCTAGTACTAAGACATTGCCTTACATCTGGCTATCTATTGTGGAAGGAAGAGTTTTACAAGCAAGTAGATGGTGTGGCGATGGGCTCACCTGTATCTCCCATTGTCGCCGATATATTCATGGAAGACTTTGAGGAGAAAGCCCTCCTTACTGCACCTGGTACACCAAGGATCGACAAGCGGTACGTAGACGATACTTTCACAATTTTACCATCAGACAAAGTAACTGCATTTTTAGAACATCTTAATTCCATAAACGCTAAAATTTAATTTACTATGGAGTTAGAAGCAAGTAATTCCTTACCTTTCCTAGATGTGTTAGTCATCCGAAATCCTAATAACACCATTGGTCACACTGTGTATAGGAAAAAGACCCATACAAACCGATATTTAAACGGTGAATCTCACCACCATCCTTCACAGTTAGCTACCGTGGGCAAATCTTTGTTACAGAGAGCACGAGGGGTCTGTGACAGCAAACACCTGGCCGCCGAGCTTCAGCACGTCAAGCAAGTTCTGCACGACGACAAGCTTCGGGTCCCGCGCCTACGTCACAGTGACCGAGTGAAGCCGGCCACAGTCGAGCGTGTGCCTGCTGTACTACCATATGTCAGAGGTGTCACAGACAAGATTGGCTATATCTTGAAGCGAGCTTCTATTAGAACATTCTACAAGCCGCCGAAGAAGATTAGCCAGTTCCTACCATCCGTCAAGTGTCATATTCCTCTACAAGATGCAGGAGTGTACAAGCTTGATTGTGAATGTGGTCTCTCTTATATAGGACAAACCAAAAGATCAATTAGGACCCGCGTAAAAGAACATATAGCTGATGTGAAG